CAGAAATACTTTGAAAACAGGGACTGAGGGAGGGTAGGGGAGGGGGGGGGTAAGGGGGAAAGAGCAACCAAAGAACTTACATGCAGGCATAGAGGCCTAACCAAGGGACCCGGACAACGGGGGGGGAGGGCAAGAGCGGGGGGGGGGGAGGGTAACATGGGGACAAGGACACATATGTAATTTCTTAATCAATAAAAAATATATTAAAAAAAAGAAGAAAAAAGAATAATTGGGATTTTAGAAATTCAATTTTACATAATTACCACCTGAAAAATAATTATTTCCCCATTATGTTTGCAGAGCCTCTACAGAGATAAAAACAATTACCAAAATTATTGTTGCTAACAGCTGATGATCAATAGCATCATTAGAGGCAGGTGGTGCCATTAACAACACCTTTCCCCCCACACCCCCACCCCCAAATACAGGCTTCAAGCGTTCCAAGATCTCTTGGTGAATCTTACCACTCTGTATTTAGAATTCAACGGCTGCAGAACATCCCCAAAATTCTTGCCTATTGGTGCTCTATCCACAATATTAGGAATTAATGGTTTTATCAGGTCTTTGAAAAACGGAGGCTCTGGACCTCTGCTCAGATTGGCCACTGTGTCCTAGAACAGAGAACATTTGCTTAAAGAGTGCACAACGAAGAGACAAAGACTCTTTCCTAAGTTCCCCATCCCCAGGAAAGACTTCATTAAAGAAATCTATCCCCCCTCCCTCCCTCTCTCTCTTTCTCCCTTCAAGAGCTAACTACTTTAACAAAATGTGAGGGGCACCCCTGCTAAAATGTGAGCCTAGATGTGCATAAGGTAAACTTCTATCACTAAAAGATAGTTTTGGTCATAGGCAACACTTTCACTTCCCTAAGCAGCATAGTTCAGTGACCACAGTGTAAGCTTGGAAGCATGTTACACTCTTCAGATACCAGGAGAGCCGTTTTTCAAATGTGTGACTTTGAATAGGAGTCTAACACATGATAAGCTTTCATAACATGACACTGTAGTTAGTCTTTTAATTTTCACAAAGTGTTTAGCCTCTCTTATCCAGAATCAGTACCAAGATTTTTTTTTTCTAAGTCCTTCTCTGTGCTGATTAAAGAATATAATAAATATATTGTTAATTTAAAAGTTAAGACCAGCGGATATCCCGACTGGTTTAATGTGCTTTCCACAAAACTTGCCACCTTTAATAATGTCATCAAAATGTTAACTTCAAATTTTAAATAGCCCCCATATGGATTTAATGTACTTTCATAATCACTTTATATATTTAATTTTTACAGCAGCCATATAATCTATTATCATTCCCATACTACAAATAGGCTTGGAGTTGTTTTTCAAGATCACATAGCTAGTCTTAGATACATAACCATAAAACTGTGAAACAAATTTCCACAAAATGATTCACACTTTTCTTCCTACATACCACTCTAAAATTTGAAGACTCTATTTCCATAGGAAGAGCTATAGACCTATGATAACAATGAAAGTTACAGTGATTTTTCTGTAGGGATGGGTTATAAGTGTATACTTTTCTATGTAATCTGAATAATCTACAAATAGTTATAGCTTCTATGATGAAAAATAAAATAGTTCTACTTTGAAAAAATGTATCAAAGCTCAAATTAAGAACCTTATGATGAAACAATAATCAAAATTATATCCTAATACCTTGTATTAAAACTTCAAACACACACACAGTGAGCAATTAATTAGATGGAGGCATATGAAATTGCCAGTATTCAACTACAGAAACAGAAATTTCATTTGTTTCAATTTAATATATCCAAGCTCTCCCTTTCGAAGGCCTTCACTGTCTTTGCTATGCCATAATTGTTTTACACCATCCTGGGGCTCTTATGGTATTATACAATAGTGGTTACCACCATCAAGAGGCATTTACTAAATCCAAATTTACTCTCTGTTCCATTTCTTAGGAATACCTCATATATACATATGCATATATATATGCATATATATATGCATATATATATTTTTTAATATAAAGGTTTTTTTTAAAAAACTGAACACTCACAGCTAAAGTTCTTATGTTGCTTCCCTCTGCATCTCCCCACCCCTGAGACACACACGTGTACAATGTTTGCTTACCGTAGCAATGGCCTTGGCCAGGCCTCTGTAGAGCTGGATGTAAGCAGACAGGGTGTGTGGTCCATAAATTGTCGACGCTGCCTCATACCGCTGAACCTGCAGGAAAGGCAAGGCCGTGTTGTACACCATTCTGCTTATTTCCATCCACTTACAGGGGTGTCACACTTACCTGAGGGGTAGTGCTCAGACATCGTGTGTAATTCAAACTGGCACAAATCAAGATTAATGATGACAAAGGCAGGGGGAGGAGGCATTCTCACTTACCAGCTAAAGTACATGGCTCCCATCAACTACATGCTAAAGGCAGCGGCTCCTCATGGCTTGTGCCATTTGGCCTTGGCAGTCCATTTAATCTGAATGCAGAGACTAGCTCCCGCACATATGTCTATTTTAAGTAGTTGTAATAGAAATGTCTTCCCCTGAGGGTATAGCGGAGAAAATTTTCACCTGCCATAGAGCTATAAAATAAAACCAAATGCATCTCCTTTTGCCTGAGCTCCAAGCCTTTGGTTGTTTCCCAGAATCCTCAGATTCATCAGATCTAAAATGGAGCTCCTCACTCCAAACACACCAGCTTTCCCTGCGATGTTCTTCATCTCAGTGAAGGCCAGCCTTCCTGTCTCCCGCGCTAGGACCAGCTGGCCGGCATCAGGTCCCTCTCCCCCATCCTACCTCCTATGGGTCTCCAAGTCCTCGTTCCTTAAAATCTCTTGACTCCTTTCATTTTCCTCGGTCTCTACTGCTTTCATCTTGGCCAAACGCTTACCTCCCACCCCAATTGCTACAGCTTCTTAATCAGTTTTGTCTCCACACTTGCTCTTTGGATTCATGTTCTGCACTGCCATCCTCATGACCATTCTAAGTCACAGATTTGATAAGAACATTTCTTTGAGTTCTACAGTTCCCCAAAACCTTCCTTCTTGAGGCAATGCTCTGTAGCATAGCATAAAAGACTCTTCACTAACCCTGCCTTGCACTCCAGCCCCTGTCTCACTACGTTCATCATGATTATTCCGCGGAACTCAACTAATCATGGCCTCTTAAATGTACTGTCAACCCCTCTGGACATTTGCATATGTAGCTCCCTCCATTATTAAACACCTCCCCTAACTTTTATTTGCAAATTAGCCCTTGCTCACTCTCAAGAACTCAGACAAATGTTACACCTTCCAAAAATCTGCTAGTCCCCATGCTCAAATAGTCTAGATGGGTTCTCTCTCTCTCTCTCTCTCTCTCTCTCTCTCTCTCTCTCTCTCTCTCGTAGACTTTGTGCATCCCTTTCACAGAAATGTAATCATCTGCTTTCTTCTCTTTTACTAGACCATAAATTCTAGTGGTCTTGAGGACAGAGGCAGATTCTTATTCATTTTTATGCCCAGATAGTGGCTACTACTGCATGTCTCAACACATATCTGTTGAATGAATGAGTGAATAAATAAATTAACTAATTAATAGCAATCCTTGCAGGAGCATGTCCCTGAACCAGGAGATAAGCTTGTATTTGTGCTATGAACTCCTTTGATCATCTACTGAGGCCTATGGACCCTTCTCAGATTAATATTTATAAGTGCATAAAATAAAATGCATGAGTTGACAAAGGCAACTAATTAGAATGTAATACATTAATCAAGCACTAATAAACCAACTTCGTGATAGATAATGTTTGTGCTTCTTTATTGAACAACAAGATTTAGCAATAACTTTAATCACTACTGTGATTTTAAAATAGGGATGAGAGTAAAAGATATTCCCAGATCTTAAATAATGGTGTGTGATATTAAAAATATCTGTGATTCCTATTGGTGACAAAGTCAGAGATACTGCTAATATTATTGTCATTTGTCACCTATATTTGTAATTGGAGGAAATGCTAAATAATAAGTAGTTACAGATAAATAAAAAATGAGTAAATGAAAAAGTATTCCCATTCAAATTTACCCCAATTAAGAACCTTCATTCAACAGGATTTCCTAGAAGGTGGGACCATTTGATAAAGTCAACAGAGGACATGAAGCAGATTCCACTGCTGATATCACTGAACATTTGCCACGGGGTAGACTACATGCCTGGGTATGGACTGCAAACACATTAGAAAGCATTAGTTGCTGGACTCTAAACTATTCTCATGTTTTTAAACTACTATTGTTAAAAAGTACTTGTGCTACTTTCTGTACTATTTGTAAACAAGGAAACATCACCGACCAGCAGCCTCCTCTAAATTCTCTGTGACTCTGTTGCTTAGTCTATACCAGTGGTCGGCAAACTCATTAGTCAACAGAGCCAAATATCAATAGTACAACGATTGAAATTTCTTTTGAGAGCCAAATTTTTTTTAACTTAAACTATATAGGTAGTACGTTGTTATTAACTTAATTAGGGCACTCCTAAGGCTTAGCTAGAGCCACACTCAAGGGGCCAAAGAGCCGCAGTTCGCCCACCACGGGATACCATCTATAATAATAAAAGCATAATATGCTAATTAAACCGGATGACCTTCCAGATGAAGCCAGGGCTGCAAAGGAAGCCCGGGTCCCAGGTGCCAGAGGGAAGCCAGTGCCGGCAGCAGGGGGAAGGAAGGTCCACTCTTGCACAAATTTCGTGCATTGGGCCTCTAGTGGATATAATAATATCTTGCTGCAGGGCTTATTATGAGGACTAGTTAAGATCACATTTGCAAGGTGTGCAGCTAATGCATTCAATAAATGGTAACCAGCAGTGGGAGCATTTCAAGGTCCTACACAAGCTTAAGGCACCAGAAGCATGAGGGACAGAGTTAGGAATGCTGCATGCCACAACCCAAACTTACAACCAGGGCTCCTGACAAAGTAACTTATTTCAGGAAAAGTGAAAGTCAGTGAGACTAGATTTCTAACCTGAACTTGTAAATGGTCAACCTAGAACCACCAAACACAACTTCTGGCTTATCATTCTCTTATCTGTCCTGAAACAAAGTCATCTCTCAAAAACATGATTAAGTAAGTCTAGAAAGAAAGCTGCATTTAATACAATAGTGTTGGCCAGGGTCTATTTCACTTAAATGATAAAGACGTTTTACTTTACCTGGTATTCTTCATAGGTGGCAATGTAATGTGTATATACATTGCACAGACCCGAAATAACAACTGTCATATTCTGCATCCCATAAGTTGCAAACTCCTGGGAGGGGGAAAGAGGTAGAGCCCAGTTAAATTACTCTTCATCTTAAAGTTTATTATAATCCCAGTTATACTGAGCCACAGATATAAATCATTAGTGGAAGATGTCTCTCTTAACAATAGTCTTCCTACTGATCAAAACTGCCTGAGAATGCAGAAGTATCAGAGAGTCCTAGATAAAAGTTAGTTGGACAAATCAATGGATCTGTGAACATCTTAATGATTGCATTTGCAGATGTAGAATCTTATTATTAATTTGCTATAAAAGTATAATGGGAGGTTACTAGCTAATGACAGTAGCTATTCCCAGACCCAAGTAATAAGGCATTTGCTGATGATGACATTTTAGAACCATTTACAATGCTTCCTCAATATAAATAAAATCATAATTATAAATGAAACACATAATTATCAGTATGTGTTAGATTTTATTTAGATAAGACTTTAAGATATTAAGATACTCAGGGGTTATTTACAATTTAATCCAAAAAACCATTATTAATTTTTAAATTATTAATACATAAATATCAATAAAATATTTTAACCTAACTATAGTTCCCTTATATTTTTTAACTTATTCTTATAACACCAATATTTCATATTTACCTCTGGCCATTACTTTCAAGAAGTGTAAATCTCTAGTTATTTTAGCAAAGATTAATTTAAAAGGTATTCGATCATATAGCTAGAGAATTCTCTTCACCAAATATAAATGCATAGATGTTATTTTATTTTTAACTTACTGCTTTAATTGCCTCCCGAAGTCTTCGTCCAGACATGGTCCTGAGTGAAGAAAACAGAATTATCTAAGTGTTTTCCTACTTAGAAGGTGTGCAAAGTATGCAAAATGACATGTAGTAAAAGAAAAAATGTTATCCTGACTCATCACACAGTCGTAAAGTATGTAGGGACTCAATGACAAAGCTAAGCTAAGGTAAGCCTTTTTCCTGGCGGTCATATCTTCAAAACAAATTCTAAAATGAAAACAGATAACCTGAAGGAAGGAAAAAGAATCAATAAATATCACTGGCAAAAGATCACAATCATTTTCTATTCATTGATTCAACAAAATATATTGGTTATGTTCTTTGTTAATAAGAGCTAAGGCAAGTAGAGAGTATGTTGTTCCTGCCGCAAAGAATTTACCATTTTATTCATTAATTTAATCCTTCATAAAACTCTGAGCACCTACTACATACCAGGCCTACTTCTAAATACTAAGGATTAGCAGAGTGGAGCTAACATTCTAGGGAAGACAGAGGGTCAATAAGCAAATTAAGAAGGGAGATGACAATAAGTGCTATGAAGTATATAAGGTAGGTTAAAGAATGAAAGGGAATGGTGGTGTCATTGTGGTGGTGATGGTGCTGATGCTGTAGTGAGGTGGCAGTGGTGGTGGTGTTGGTGATGGTGGTGGAGTTGGTGGTGGCAGTGGTGGTGGTGGTGGTGATGGTGGTGGAGTTGGTGGTGGCGGTGGTGGTTGTGGTGCTGATGGTGGTGCTAATGCTGTAGTGATGTGGCAGTGGTGTTGGTGGAGGCGGTGATGGGTGAAGACAATAGTATAGGCAGGACTGGCATCTCGGTTAGAGCTCTGAGCAGAGAACTGAAGGAATGAAAGAGTTGGCCATGGGGATTACTGGAGCACAAGTGTTTCAGGGAGACGGAACCATAAATTCAAAAGTGCTAAGACAGAAGCACGCTTGATGAGTCTGGGAACTGCAATGAAGCCGAAGTGGCTGAAGCAGGGGAGAGAGGGGAGAGTCGGATGAAATCAGATTAACGAGCGTTGCTGAGATCATATAGTGACCTTAGGCTATAAGGGTCTGAGGATTCACCCAGAGTGAAATGGGAAGCCAGTGGAGAGTTCTGAGCAGGACATGGTTTAACTTGTTTTTTAAAGGGCTTCCTCCAGCTGTGGTGTTGATAAAACACTCTAGAGAAGAAAGAGGGAGCAAGAAGGCTAGACAGGGAGAAATAATGGTTGCTTAGGCGGGGGGTGGGGGGAGAGGGGGAGGGACAGGGGACAGTAATAGAAAGTATTGGAAAGAACATACAGAATTTGCTGAAGGATAGAAAGTGAGGGAAATTGCAAAGGAAAGAATTCAGGGATGACTCCTAGATTTAGGCCTGAGCCACAGGAAAGCTATACACTTGCCTCTTACTAAGATGGGAAAGATTGCGTGAGGAGGAGACTTAAAACATTATTTCATGCTTTTAAAACCTAAAGTAATTATTTCAAGAGTCTATATTTTAATATTATGTCAAGTCTTTCTACTGACATCACAATTCACATCATTTTAATTTGGAATGATACGTTTTCAAATGTTTATGTTTGCTTGAAGTTACACACTCATAACAAGCATGGAGAGAGTTATTCTCCTGAGGTCCCACCATCAGAGGGTGGGAATATTTGTCAGCGATGCCAAATATAATACAGTGAGATACAAAGGGGTCAGTGCAGAATTACCTTCCTATGATAAGTGACCCCAACAGAAACACATATACAATAACTACCTTTTTCTTAAAGTTGCAATTTTTTTTTAACCCTCACTGGAGGATATGTTTTTATTAATTTTGAGAGATAGAAAAGGAAAGGGAGAGA